ATCTCTGGGTAATAAGGTACATCTATGTTTATCCTTTGGGGGAGTCGCCAGACTGATTTCTAAACTGGTCGCATCATCTCATATCTCCACCAGCAGTGTCTGAGGGTTTCAGATGCTCCACATTTTTGCCCACACTTGTCATTATCTGTCTTTTTATTATGGCCACCCCAGTGGCTGTGAAGCGGTATGTCACTGTGGTTTTTATTTGTATTTCCCTGACAGCTAAGAATATTGAACACCTTTTCATGTGCTTATTGACCATTTTCATGTCTTTTTGGAAAAATGTTTCCTTAGATTCTTTGCCCTTGTTTTAATTTGGTTATTTATCTTTTTATTATTTAGCTGTAAGAGCTCTTTGGGAATAAGAATCCCTCATCAGAGATACAATTTGCAAATTATATATGTGGGAATTATCTTTTCACTTTCTTCATGGTGTCCTTGGGAGTACAAAAGTTTTAAATTTTGATGATGTCCAATTTATCTATTTTTCATTGTTGTTTGTGCTTTTGAAATCATCTTTCAAAAACCATTGCTTCACCCAAGGTCATACAGGTTGATGTCCATGTTTTCTCTGAAGTGTATTATAGTTTTAGGTCTTACATTTAGATCTTTGATCCATTTTCAGTAACTGTTGTATATGGTATGAGGTAGGGGTCCAATTTCATTATTTTTCATGTAGATATCCAGTTGTTCCACACTTGTTGAAAAACCAATTCTTTCCCTGTCGAATCATCTTAATATCTTTGCCCAAAATCAACTGACCATAAATGTAATGGTTATGCACCATTTTAAAGGATTTTCTTATATTAGCCACACCGAAAGCCATACATCATTATTTTATACAGTGCGCGCTCAAAAATTACTCATCAGATTGGAAATGACAAACACCTTCCTATTCTAGTTCATTTTGAAAAATGAGGAGACAAATTCTCAGTAGCTGGCTGCAGCTGCGGTTTATTCCATACATACCGCCATTCAGACAAAAATTATCATTGGCCGTTTGTTCGGGGCCTGAGCCTGGTCACTGTTTGATGAGCCGGAGTTTTGTCTGATGTGACTTCGAGAGCTTCTTCCCAGACAGATTGCTAATATCTTGTACTTTGGTTTTCGGTCATTAGGGGAATAGCCTCCAGGTGGTTGCGGTGACTTTGGATAGACTCTGTGATCACTGTCATCAGAAAAAGCCAGGGACTAGAGTTAAGGAGGAATTGCCCTTTGGCCTGCTCTCCACATGGTGTGCAGCTATCATTTTTAATTTCCATTCTCTGCCCCCTTCACTCCACTTCCAAAATGGCAAAAAACCCAGCTTGCTTTGGACACAGCTGTTTCCTATCTTTTGGGAAAATCAGTGACTTGGCTTGTCTTCTGGATGGAATGAAAGTTTTGTGAGGAGTATCAAAGAAAGACATACTCAAGCAGCACACAAATGTCCCTCCATTTACTGCTGCTGAGTTCACGGTGGGAAGAAATGTGCATGGGCACTTTGCATGCGACCCTCAAAACCCGCCAGGGTGTTGTGGAAGCCTCAAACTGCAGCCTTTAGAATTCCCTGCCTCAGCATCCCTGTGAGTAGGACGGGGTAGAGGGAACTGGGTAAGTGCCTGTTCTGGGACGCCTACTGAATCAGAAGTTTGGGGGGTTGGCAGGAGCAATCTGCATTTTAATAGAGACCACGGGTGGGGCTCAGGCACATTAAAATTTGAAAACTGCCTACTCAGGAGTTTTTCCTCTAAGGAGCTGTAAACATTTGCTACAACTACAAGCTTTGGAAACATACAGAACCTGGATTGAACATCTGTTTCTTCTCCCTAAATTAAAGGTCACTGTCCCACGGCCAGATGCGCGTCCTGAAGTGTCTCTGGGTGAAAAGGTAGCTGTCCTCACCCAGGCTGGGAGCACCGTGGGGCACTCACTGGGTGGCTCTCACCCACCCTCGGCCCAGGTTCCAAGTCATGACCCACATAGAAAATGGTGACATTCACCTCTGACAACCCTGAAGCACATGGGGGGTCTGAACTTGTTGATTCAGTTCAACTATCAAATGAATCTGTAACAGGAAGTTAAAAAAATTTTTTTGAAGGAAAAGGAAAGGGTAACATGCATACAGCCCAAGGTAAACGGCCAGGGTGGCATTGGCCAACCCAAGGGCCAAAGGCAGCTGTGCCCTAGACGTAATTAAGCTGAGTCTGTGTGTTAGAAGCCCTTTTTCTGTCCCCACGTTGACCCCACCCTTCCCCACAGAGCAAAATATCTAGGGGCCAAGGGGACACACCCACCAGAGCCCGCAGCGCTCCTTCAGGGCCAGTTGCTTTTCCTTCCCATCGTCACAGACCAGCAAGTGGCCAACGTGCCTGACTAATGCACTGCTCACCCTGGAATGTTCCAGCAATGTCAAGTTGCCATAGACATTTCCAAGTGCTTGCATTTTTCATTCTTACCCCACAGCAGAACAGTAACAAGTGTGTGGTGCCTGGACCACCCTGAGAAGCTCTGCTCTAGACTCTTGTGTGGGTGCCCTGGAATCAGCAGCCCAAATTACACCATGCCTATTCCCAGGTTCTGCAGCTTTGCACAGGGCCCAGGGGCAGCCGTTCGCAAGAAGAAGGGGAGATAAAGATTGAGTTGTGTGCTGGGGTGTCATACACATGCAGTGGAGGCCCTTTTGGTGCAGGATGGAGGGTAGATGGGAAGAAAAGGGGTGCAGGCTCCCAGCTGGTAGAGGAAGGGGGCACAAAGATTTGGGGTCAGCCCAGCTGAAGGAGCCCATTTCTCTGCACATCTGGAACCCATTCACAGTGTTCCCTTGTACCTAGCCTGCCAGTTGGGAAACAATGGACCAAGCACTTTCGGTCATGACTTTCTCAACATTTTGAATTCTGATTTCTGTCTGTGGCCGCAGGTGGGAGCCTGTCACCAGTCTGCAGACTCAGTGGGTGGCCTGTGGACGTGCCTCCTCTGGCTCACCACTCCCTCAGCTGTGTCGGGACTGGAGCCTCATCGGCCCTGCCTCATGGCCTGCCCGCCCCGCCCTTGGCATAGTGGAGACACTGTGCTGCGCCTCGAGCCAACAATTTCTCAACACTCTGGGGAAGGATTTTGTTTGTTTTCCTTAAGTTTGATGGAAAGCAAACGCAGGCAAACACCCCAAAAGGAAAGACAGGCAAACGACTTGACAATTAAAAACCATACATTATTAGCCAATAGGCAGGTAAATATTGTAATATCTCTAGGAAATCAAGAAGTATAAGTCCAAGCAATGAGCACTTTATTTTGCCCCTTAAACTGGCAAAGATGAGAAACAAAAAAGAAAATATTCAGTGTTTGTGAGGATTTGGGGAATATTGTCCTTTCATATACTGTTAGTAAAAGGGCAGTAGGGTAATAGGAGATTTATAGGGATAAATTCAGCAATACGTTGCAAAAGACCTTAAAATGTACACATTCTTTGAAGTCTTGAACACATTACTTCAGTCTTATATCCGTTGGCTGTTGATGAAATCTCTGAAGTGAATCTCATTCTCGATTTTCCCCCCTTTTTGGAGCTTTTCCTGTTATCAGTGACATTCTGAAATCTCATGAAGATCTATCTGGGTAAATACTTAAGCCAGATTTGTCTAGAATGAGTCACAGAACTCAGGAGCACTGTACTTACGTTTCTTGTAAAGGACATTCCAAAGGACACGATGAGCAGCCAGAGGAAGAAGAACGTAGGGTGAGGCCCAGAAGAGTCGCAAAGGTGGGAGCTTCCGTCCTCGTGGAGTTGGGGTGCACCACCCTCCTCGCACGTAGGGTGCTTTCACCAACCTTAATGCTTCCTGAACACTGTTATTTAGGGGGGGTATGGAGTTTCATCATGTAGTATGATCAAGCACTAACTCAGTCTCTCGCTCCTCTCCCCTCCCCAGGGGTTAGGAGGTGAGACTGGAGGTCCCAAGCCTCTCATCAAGGGAAGCCTTCCTGGCAAACGGCCCCCCCCCTGAAGCTGTCTGGGGTGTGGCAAGAGGGGGACACGAGTTGCCTCATTAGAAAAAACGGTGCTCCTACCTGTCCTGTCACTCACAAAGTTCCAAGGGGTGTAGGAGCTCTGTGTCCTGTACCAGGAGCAAGACCAAGGTCATGACAAAAGATGATCCTATCACCCCATCACTTAGGACATTACAAGGGCTTTAGAAGCTCTGCACCAGGAACTGGGGATGAAGACCAAATATGTAGTTCTTATGCTACACAGTATCCCACCCTCACAGGCTGCTCCGTGCTGACTGGGCTCAGCTGGTGGAGTGGAGCAGCAACGCACTTGGCTGCTCCTGGCCTCCCTGTGGCTGTCGTACGGCCTCGGCCCAGTTCTGGTCTCCCCCTTGGTGCTCCCCCTCGTGCTTTTATGCTTCTCTTGTCCATCAGACACTCTTTAGGCATGAATTCCTCCCTGTGGTCCCCCTCTTGTGTTTCAGTAAGGCCATTTAAACCTTATTTTGTCATTTCTTGGCATTCGTTATGGGAGGGACACAGTCCAACACCTGGAGGTGGAATTCTGGTAAAAAACTGTATAACCTTCAAACCAGTGATCCACTCCTAGGAATTCATCCTAAGGAAGTAATTAGGAGTATAGCTTTAACTACAAAGAATTTCATCATAGTAAACATTTATTTTGGAAAAGTGAAAACACATATCCAACCAGAAGTGGTTAGCAAGATAAACGGTGACCCTTCCGCACAACAGCAGGCTATGTACAAAAAAATAATATGACAATATTTCATGGCATGGCAAAATGCCACTGAGGTAGTAAGTAAAATTTTCAGGTTATAAAATTTTTTTAATCTCATTTTTATAAAATAAAGCAAAAGAAGCACATGTTCTTCTAGAAAAGGGTAACTTGGCAAGGCAGGAATTCTGGCGACTCTTCTTTCTTCTCTTTGGCTGTATTTTTTCCAGGCTCTTGGGGACCGTTTGTAGCAATTGCCATGTGCAAGACTCTAGTGCCATTCTCCGCTTCCCTTCGCCAGGTGTCCTGGAAGACGGACTGCCTTCCAATGGTGCGCCCCGACCTACAGCCCCAGGTGGAATGTCCAACCCAGAGAAGAAGACGAGCTGTGGGACCCAGTGCCCGAATCCTCAGAGCCTCAGCTCAGGCACCCAGACCCAGAAACAGAATGGTTTTCGAACCACAGAGGTAGGTCGCAGCCACAGAACCAACCTGGGCCTGGATAAAGGGAGAGAAGCTGGCTTCAGGGCAGGGCTCCGCTGCGCCTGTACCCAGGGAAGGATCAGAGAAGACCCTCCTTGCCTGAGGAAATGCTCTGCCTCACCCAGGAGAAAACTGTTGCAAACAAAACAGCAACCCCTGCCTTGAGGGTTGCTGTTTGTTGAATCAGCTGAAGTGGGTCCTTGATATTTGCACTCTAAAGGAAGTGTGTTTGTTTAAATATAGTTTTGTTCAGGTCTAGCTATCTTGATAATGAGGACTGTGCTAGTTACAGCAACCAGTCTCAGGCCAGACAGCTGAGTTGGCCAGTCTCAAGGGTTATCTGCAGGGTGGGGAGTGGGCAGGGAAGGAGAGAGGGACGACCAGTGTGGTGGAGGAAGTCCGGCATTTCACCTCAGACCCTCCGACAGGGAGGCAGTGGGACTCCCCAAGGGCAACTCTTGCTGCAGAACGTGGTGGAAGCCTCACCCCCAGACTGTTGCTGTTAGAAAGGAAGCAGGCCTAGTTAGCATCCTTTCCGATCCTGTCTTTGCTCCTAGAGTTGTTGCTGGGAAGTGCTCCTCCTGTGGGATGAGCGCCCCTGGAGGCCAGCTGAGGCTCTGCAGGCTCTTCCTCTGTCCACTCCATCCCTCTCCGTCCCTCTTCCTTGTCTTGCCCATGCCCCACCCCCATTCAAAGTCCACTGCCTACTGGATGCTCCAAACCCATTTTTCCCTTCTCCCCTGTCAAAACCTACTGGTCCTGTCCCCTCAGGGCTATGCCACCAGTTTTCTGAGGCTACAACTGGTCATCTAATGATGGAATTCCTGCTCATGTCAGTGAGTTACCACTCAAAGTTTTGGTCAAAAAACCTGTTGCAACTTCAGCTCTAGTGCTAATTAACTAAGTAGACTTGCAGGAATCATTTCATCTCTCAGAATCTCAAGTTCCTTATCCACACAATGGAAATAATATCAAAATGAGAGAACAGATGGGCCTGCTCTTTGTAAACTGAGAAGTGCCATAAGAAAGGCAATAAGGCCCTGGCCAGTGTGGGTCAGTCGGTTGGAGCATCGTGTTATAAAATGAAAAGTTTGTAGTTTCCATTCCCGGTCAGGGCGCACATGCCTAGGTTGTGGGTTCAGCCTTCACTGGGGAGCATGTAAGGTAACCCATCAATGCTTCTCTATCACATCATTGTTTCTCTCCCTCTCTATCCCTCTCCCTCCCACCCACCCACCCCCATCTAAAAAATCAATAAGCATGCGCTTGGGTGAGGACTGAAAAAAAGAAAAGAAAGGCGGTAAGGATTCCCAGGGATGGTTACACGCCAAGTGCTAAAACTCAGTGAAATGACACTGATGGATACTGTAGAAGGCAATGGGTAGGGACTAGACCGGAAGATCTCAGTGGCCGTCCTGGAATTCTTAATGCCTACTTTGCCTGTGTATAAACTGGCCTTCAAGAAGCCTAATTGTTGCTATCTCCCAAGGCCGACTGGGCCCCACAGAGCTACACTCAGAAGTGCCAGTTTGGGCCCTGACATGTGTCCTCCAGCCTACTCTCCTCACCTGTGACCTTACCCTTTGAGCCAGGGTGTGCTGTGGCAGGGAGGACGCAGCCTTGCCTGGTGCGTGACACGGTCTTCACATTTGCTTTCCCACCTCACTTCCTATCCCTCGTCATCTGTCACCTCAAAGGTGTGTTCTGCAATTTACAGAGCACTCTTAGGTCTACTGGCTCATTAAATCTTCCCAAGAGCACTGGCGAATAAGCATCATCCCCATTTTATAGACAGAGAAACTGAAGCTCATTTAATTACATGATGTGAGTGGGCTGTTTAAGTGCTGGAGGTGGGTGTCAATAACTTTAAAATGAAACAGGTGACTATTTCAAAGGGGGAGCATACAGATCATAAAGTACTTTTTAATAGAAGAATTACGTGTATTAGCTATCATCATAATAATGCTGGAAAAAACATCAACGTTCACTGACTTACAACAGCAATTTTTGTTCCCCCTTCATAATCCGCTGCAACTTGAATGAGCGAGGCCTGACTTCAGGTTCTAGGCTCCCGTTCTAAGCCGAGCGGAACCTTCTTTCCCATGTGAATTATTCTGAGAATGAGGCCAAAAGGGCAGGGGCACCCCAGGTGTCTTCTTCTTATGACTATGACAGTGTTGGGACTCAAGGCACTGAGTCCCACATATGCCACTTGAGCATATCGATTATTTTGAATTAAATTACTTAAGAAATAGCTGGTGTGAAAAGGACACCCTGACTGTTCTTTGTCTCTCTGAAGCAGGAAATGACTCTCCCAGGTGAAAGATCCCCTGATCTCCAGAGATGGGAAATTTGGGGCCGGGAGGGCGTGCAAACCAGCTTCGCCTGGATTCCTCACTAATTAAGCCCCTAAGCCTAAGTTTCTTAGTCTTGTCGATTCTTCATGAATTTATGGTTTCTTTAAAAAGTATCAAAGCTGCCTGCTTAGGTCATTTCTGTAGGTCTCATATCTGTGAGACCTCAATAGGTATGAAATTAAACTTGATTTTTTCCTCATCTGGCTTGCATCAATTTAATTCTTAAACCAGCCAGCAGAACTCTGAAGGGCATAAAGAAATACTTTTCCTCCCCAACAGTGGAAACCCAAGAGGGCCATAACCTGACTATTCAAGGCACATTTCATGTCTCTGCTCACATCATAACAACCAGCCTCCTATTGGCCAAAGTGAGTCATGTGGGCAAGCTCTACATCAGTAGGGAAAGGAAATATTCTTTGTTCCCAGTGGAGAGATAGTGAGGAGCAAACATGTAATCTACCACATATAACGTACATATGGAGAAATGCACAAGTCCTAAGTTCAATGGATTTTTACAAGTGACACGCCCACATAACCATCTTCCATATGAAGACGTAGAACATCATCACTAACCCAGAAATCCTCCCTGTGCCCCTCCCCGGTCACCACCTGCCGCCCACGGCGTGACCACTTTCCTTGCACCCAGCACCGTACACCAGGTTTGTTTACTCTCAAGACTCTTATCCAGGGAGTGACACAGCGTGCACTCACCTTCTTTTGCTCACCATTATGTTAGTGAGGCTCCTCCACATGGGTGTGAGGTGCAGAAATTCCCTCATTTTCATTATGCGTATTTCATTCTGCTGGAAGGACATTTGGTTTGTTTTCAGTTTGGGGCTATTGTGAACAATACAGATATTACCATTTTTTTTGGTTGTATGTGTGTTTAAAAATTTTTTTTAATTAAAAAAATTTAAATCTATTGGGACGACATTGGTTAATACCATTATGTTTCAGGTGTGCAGCTTTGTAGTGCACTGTCTGTATATTCTGTTGTGCTCACCACCAAATTCTAGTTTCCTCTCGTCACCATACATTTGAGCCTCCCTTCAGCCTCTCCATCCGCCCACATCCCTTCCCCTCTGCTGACCAGCACTCGGTTGTTTGTATCTGGACTTCGTTCCTTCGTGTTGCTTTATGTTTTATATCCCACATGTGAGTGGAACCCTACTGTCCCTGTCTTTTTCCATCTGACTGGCTTCACTTAGTCCGATGCCCCCAAGGTCCGTCCGTGTCGTCACAAATGGCGGCATTTCCTCTTTCCTATGGCTGAGTAGTGTTCCACTGTGTGTGTGAGCCTCGTCGTCTTTATCTGATCGTCTGCCAAAGGACACGAGGTTGTTTCCATGTAACACTCCTGTGCATGCCTGTCTGTGGGAATTCTCTTCTTTGCGTGTGATAGGTAGGAGTGAAGCTGCTGGCTCGTAGGACACGGACGTATGCAGCTTTAATAGATACCAACAGACAGTTTTCCAAAGCAGTTACACCAGTTTACATGCCAGCCAGCAGGTGATGAGTTCTGGTTGCGGAACATAAGAATTTCAAGCCAGTTAGTTGTGTCTAGTCCTTCTTCCTTAGGCCCGTCCTAGGCATAGTACGGGGTGCTAGCTCACTGTTCTGTGATCTCATTGAATCCTCCCAATGACTCTGTCGACATTGTCGTCTGCAGTGCACAGGTGAAAATGGAGACCTGTAGATAGCTAAGGAAGGCACCTCCTCGGTCCACACTCACACATGCTCTGGAGTCTTGGGTGGTAATTAAAGCAGGTCCAGACCCCTGACTCTAGCAGCAATGGAAACTGCGCCGCAGGGGAGTGAGGACCGCACCCCCCTGACCAACCAAGCACCACAGGCAGGTGGCCTGTGTGGATAAGCCATCCCTGCAGCTTTTGTTTTCACAATTCAATGAACAGTGGCTGTGTTGTAACTGTTTCCAAAATAAGGTCAGAGAGCAGATCACTTTAAGTCACTTTAATGGTAAGTATTCAGACTATTGCTGAAGCCCAGTGGTGGGCTTCCTATGCTGAGGCCCCACCAGCCACCAGATACCTTGGGTCCCTGCAAGGCTGTGGCAAAGTCTTTCTATCCAAGGTGTTGGCTTACAGCACAAGCTTCCCTCTGATGTCAGCTTTGGTCAGCAGAGCCTGCTCACACGGACACAGCTCTCAGCTGCCTAGGCTCTGTCCAAGAAAATCAGTTTTCTTTCTCTTTCCTCCAGGGCTTTGATGTACTGCTTCTTCCTAGCTTGTCTCTTACGCCCTGGGCTGAAGCTCCCTGCTTTTTCAGTGTCTGGCTCAGGCAGTATCTTGTCGCCTCTTCCTGTCTTCTTTTGCTCCCCCAAGATGATCTATTAGTGTGGCACAGCATTTCCCTGTGTGTCATCGGGCCGCCTGGCTGATGGGTCTTTGGCCCTATTTTAAAGCTTCCCTTCCCCAGAAGAACTTATTCCCCAGAACAAGATGCATTCCCTAGATAAAGCATGCATTATCACACACAGGCCAACTGCGGTATCCCCATTCAGATTTAAAACATTTGTGCCTTAAAGCTGACCCTTGTTAGGCCCGGAAACTTCCTTGCCAGTTCCCACAAGCAGTCTTTGGGGTCATTCATCTACTGTTCGTTTATTGA